GTCATCTTTAACTGTTTTCACTATTGCGGTAAGATGCAAAACGGTGAAGAAATAACGAATGTGTAAATCATCCTGCTTTATGATCTTAGACATCCACTGGGGATGGTGCGCCACGTTTACAGCGGACCATTTTGCTATATGACCAACTCGAAGCAATGCATGTTTAGGTTTGGAGGACCACTGTCCGGGAAGACCTTTTTGCATGATAAAAAAGTGGAAACAGCTACCACAAATAGTAAACTTTTATCCAACTCCCATAAACTACGCTTTACTCCTCAAGCAGTTACAATGATGAGTTGATGTTACACCAAATATCCCAGCTTCGCGGAAAAAAATGAAATTGTCGGTGGAAACGTGTCTCCACCGAAGTAAAACTTCTCCACGTGATATCTTTAAATACTTGTTCGAATTCTTCAAGTGTAGAGCGCTACACGCCTGAATGTCACTAGCTCTTATGGACGGAAACGTTCATCGTAAAAACAACAAGCAGGTACTTTGGTGGGCTGCAGCGTAGTATCCTGCACTTACTCAACACGATCCGCAGCTAGACTGGTCTCTGATTTGGCGAATAGAAGGGCATTTGGGCCAGTATCTTCGAGCATCGAATTGCGTTGGAATGTTAACATTGGAAAACCGATGGTTTACGGTTGGCCTTCGAGCCTTCTGTTCTGCAATCTCTCTTTTCGCACCGAACCGCAAATGAGGGTTTTCCATACATGGCCCTTTGAAAACCGATGATGATTTCCACTTTGCGCCCGTCTGCTTACAAAGATTAAAACGTGTTAATAAGAACAGACTGACATTCTTGTCCGATTGTTTAATATGCTTACCAGCTTGCTGCTCCGGAGTGGCATTTAACGATCATTGTATAAATAGCATAGTAAGATATTTCGCACCATGCCTAAAGCTTCTGAGATTAAGTTCCAGCGAGACTTAACCATGATTTATTTTTGGTTAGTGTACAACCTCCCCAAAGTTAAAATGAATTCTCATGAAATTGTCACATATGTAGCGAAAAAACCCACCATTCGATCGAAATTTAGTTTGGCATGGTCTGAACTCATATGAGTGAAACGCTAATCTGGTGAATTTTGTTCTGATCGCTAAATAATTAATACAAATATTTCAGGAGTGGAGAACAGTCTAACGTAGTTGTGAATGTGATTATAAATTACTTTGCATCTATAGTATCGTTACGCATATCTCTCAAGAGGCAACCGTGAAATATTTGGCCAAACACGCAAACAAAATTTCAAGGGATTTCACTCTATTAGCAGGGTCAAGTATGCTGAAAATCTGAAAATCATCTTTACAAGTGTTTCATCCAGGAGTGCGGATCTCACGAAACAGAGGAAGTTGTGAGCTATCGAGCTTTTGGCCAGTAAGTGAAAATCTAACGGTTTGGCCTCGAGAAGTGAAGAAGCACTAGGGTCAGCTGTTACTTCGATGTCCGTGAAGGCACTCGTTGGCCCGGGGCGAGACACCTACTCTACTCTAAACGTCAAGGAAACCTCCATGCTGGATAAGGAGACGTGGTCTGGACAGTGTTCCGCAGCATTATTCTGAACAAAAAAGACCGTTTTAACATCGATTTTGTCCTAAGACTTGAGCCAGTTTGGTGCCTTTTTTATTGGATCGCTGAATGTCTTGGTGTAGGAGCCAATCAGTTTTCAGCAAACTGTCATCGGCAAGATGTGGTCTCAAGTTTCGTTAAGTAATAGCTCCATTTATACTGAGGTTTTTAGGGTGTTTTACCAAGGGAGGAAGCGTAGCCAACTACGATTCCTGTGGTGGTAAGCTGTTAAGCTGGCCCGTTGGTAAAATTCAAACCGACAGCGGTATCAAAATTGTTGTAATTTAGTTTATCACTCAATGACAATCCACATGGGTGAAATAGTGCAAATTGGTCTGTTTCGTTTCCAAAGGCCTACTGCTGAATACACTGGCAAGAACCACTCACCGTTGGATGAATGTATTCCCTGGTTCTGATCAATTGTGTGTACTTGGTTTGGCCGCCTTTACATTTGCTTGCAAACAAAAACACCAACAATATAGCATAAAATATCGCCATCCTCGCCCAATGTCCGCTGAAATAATTGAGATAGTTTTAAATTTATAGCAATCAACTGTGGACCTTTGTATTTCTATGAACCTTCGAACTTTGAAACGTTAAATATCTGATGTCACCGTGATAGACAATTTCTATCAAGAAGCGTTTTAGAGTGCAACCTATGAACAATTTTTGTGGCTTACAGTTGTTTTTAGAACTAAAGATCAAGCGTGGTGCGATTACTCAATAGAATATTCACACTAGGCTTCAACAACATTCAGGTTCAGAGTCCGTTATTGAGCTATCCAGCGAAAGGGATGAAATTTCGTTGGCTAACAGAAGGTAACACATTCTGTGTGTAACCGTAATTTACGGATAACATTATCTTTCTTACTGAGGCGAAAAACCCTAATTGAATCGTTAGTTTGATTTCGAAGTTGCATCCTCCTTCTATGTAGTATTCAGCCGGACTTCAAGCTCTATGGAGCAGACATATTCAGTGCGCAGTTGGGCAGGT